TATGGCAGAGCTCCAAGACACAGTGACTCATCCGTAGAATGGAGATTATGACAGTACCTACTTATATTTATTATGTGTGGAATTCTTAGGGCAGTAACCCCCACACAGTAAGGCGGGTTCCAGCAGAGCTGTGGTCTAACCCAAACTCTGCCTGTAGCTGCTGTGTGACCCTGGTTAAGTTTCTAACCTCTCTGAGCTCCAGCTTCCTCACCTGTAATATGGGAATCACAGTGTCTTCTTCATGATGTGGCTGTGAAAACCAAATGAGATAAGAACTCAGGGTCTGACACACAGTACAAACTCAGTCAGTAGTAGCTCTTTTTCACAGATTTTCCCCTCTCAGCATCTGATAGACTTCCTGCTCCCTTCCACCCTCCACCTGGAGAGCTTGTCAGGTTGTGGCCTAACAGTATCATCAATGTTTTTCCGACTGTTGCCAGGGAAGCAAAAACACACAGACTTGCTGATACGTCCCAAGAAACAGCCAGGCCCAGTAGACACTAAGACCTGCTGATGGGCAGAAGCAAAGGGATTTCAAATTCACACAGACTTTCAGAGATAGGAAAAGGCACGAAAATCTTTATATCTTCATCCTCATTGCTAATTATTCAAATGTAAATTATATAATGCTTTTTTCTCTTGAGATAGGATATCACTCTGTCGCCCAGGCTGAATGAAGTGCAGTGGCTTGATCATGGCTCACTGCAGCCTCAAACTCCTGGGATCAAGCAATCCTTCCACCACAGCTTCCTGAGTAGCTGAGACTACAAACCCACATCACCATGTGCAGTGAATTTTACTTCTTTTTTTTTTTTTTTTTTTTTACAAGACAGGATCTCACTCTGTCACCTAGGCTGGAGGGTAATGACTCAGTCTTGGCTCACTGCAGCCTTGATCTCCTGGGCTCAAGTGACCCACCCACCTCAGCCTCTCCAGTAGCTGGATTACAAGCGCACAACATCATGCCTGGCTAATTTTTGTATTTTTTGTAGAAACAGGGTTTCACCATGTTGGCCAGCCTGGTCTCGAATTCCTGGTCTCAAACGATCTGCTCGCCTCACCCTCTCAAAGTTCTGGGATTACAGGCATGAGCTACTACGTCCGGCCTCCCAGCTAACTTTAAAATTTTTAGTGGAAATGGGGTCTCACCATGTTGCCCAGACTGGTCTTGAACTCCTAGGCTCAAGAGATCCACCCACCTCAGCCTCCTAAAGTGCTAGGATTACAGGTGTGAGCTACCACACCCAGCCTCCAAAAACCTTTATATCTTCTGACCCAGAAATTTCACTTCTGGAAATCTATACTAAAAAAACCATCAAACAAAAGAAAAATACCCAGTAATAACACAAGCAATAGAATTAGTAGATGGAGGACATTGAAAATTACAACTGCAGCTGTCCTCTTTTATCTTCAGGGGACACATTCCAAGACCCCCAGTGGCTACCTAAAAGCACAGATAGGACCGAACCCCAGATAGACTATGCTTGTTCAAATCTTCGGTAAAGTTCAGTTTATAAATTAGGCATGGTAAGAGATTAACAACAATGACAAATAATAAAATAGAACAAGTATGACAATATACTATAATAATGTGGGAAAGAAGGGCAGAAATCAAATCTTTCTTCTGTAAGCAAACTTCCCTGAGTCCTTCCTCCTCCTGTGGAATTGTATCCTGCTTTGCAAGCTTTATAAGTTTTATAAGTTTACAAATTCTTGTATTCTTGTTTTCCAGAGCTGATAGCTGTAAGTTTCTGTAACACAGCGAAGGTCATGAGAAATGCCTAAGCAGGTTGGTATACGCTGTGGCAGAAGCCAACAGATAAAGCCCATGCTAAAATCCTTGAGCTCTGCAGATAACAAGCATCTCTGCCACACAGTGAAAGCCATAGGTAAGCCTGAATTATGTGCCTGTCATTGCTCGATAAACTCTCTTTGTTCTGCACCTGCAAACTTGTTTTCGCCCCACTCCGTACGTCATGTATATGTAAAAGGTCAAACCCTCTCTTTGGTGCTCAGTTTTCGGATGCGAATCCACTAAGCTGGTGCACCTAAATAAAGTTCTCCTGTTTCATCCATTGGTCTCTCCTGTCTCCTGAACTTCCACAACAATAATAAAAGTTATGGGAATGTGGGTCTCTCTTTGTCTTTCTCAAAATATCTCAGTGTCCTGTATAGTACAGGTTACTGAAACCGTGGCAAGCGAAACTTCCAGGAAACTGATAAGGAGGAACTACTGTAGCTTCTATATGTTTAAGAAGATAAAAGAAGCCAGGCGCAGTGGCTCATGCCTGTAATCCCAGCACTTTGGGAGGCTGAGGTGGGTTTTACCTGAGGTCAGGGGTTCGAGACCAGCCTGGCCAACATAGTAAAACCCCATCTTGACTAAAATACAAAAATTAGCCAGGCATGATGGCACATGCCTATAGTCCTAGCTACTCGGGAGGCTGAAGCAGGAGAATTGCTTGAACCTGGGAGGTGGAGGTTGCAGTAAGCCGAGATCACACCACTGCACTCCAGCCTGCTGACAGAGTGAGACTCCATCTCTAAATAAATAAATAAAAAGATAAAGATTGAACATGTTCAGTTGAAGCATGGAAGATACTTAAAAGACCCAGATCAAATTTACAGAGAGGACCAAATGCAATGAGATGAAAAAAAAAAAAAAAATGGATAGGATTGACAGCAGATCAGAGCATGCAAAAGAAAAGGTTATTTAGTTTACTTATTATAAGCAGTGATGATGATGAGGAGGAGGATGAGAGTCACTGCAACTGACACTTATTGGTCTCTAGCTATGAACCAAGCCCTGTTCACATATCATCTTTTCATCCTCACAATAACCCTACGAAGTAGGTACTGTCATCACCACTGTCTTACACAGGAGCAAGAGGAAGACGAGGAGCTAATAATCAGCTTGCTCCAAGGTAAGCAGCCAGAATGTCAGGGAGGCCAGGCTGTTAACCCAGGCAATCTGGGTTTGAATCCCATCTCCCCAGTCCTCTTACCCTCCAGGCGTGCTGTGACTACTGTAATGGCATTGCCTGAATCGGTGAGGCTTGATGCTATGTGCTTTATAATGTTGTCTCTAAATCTCACAGCCATCAGGAAAGGGAGGGTCTGTTGACCCTATTTTGCAGATGAAGAAACTAAGGCTCCTGGAGGTAAAGTAATTATTCCAGGGTCCCGCCGTTGGTAAGACAAAGAATGAGGATTTGAACCAGATCTGTCTGATCCCACACTTGGCCTGCTGGGTGTGCCCTGGGGTTTCTGGAGGTGTCCGAGATAACACTGAAGATGGGGCTTATGAGGACGGTTTGCAGCATCAAAGCCCTTCTCTCCCATTAGGGAAAAGCCTTCTGGAATCAACAAAGGGCTTGTAGCTACTTTTACTCCCATCCCTCCATACCAGATGGAGGGTGGCGTGGGTTCTGAGAGGTAGCCATGTGACCCACCAAAAGCCCCGGTCTAGGATTGTCTACAGGGTAAGACGTCACACTGGTAAGTGCACAAGGGAATGAATATTGAGCCTATGTGGACAGGGGTGCATCAAAAAATGTGCCAGAGGCATCTCTTTTGCTTGCTGTTGAGTTATTTTGCACGTAGATTGTTGGCACCCATGTGAGGTGGTCAGTTGGTTGACTGAATCGAGGAACAAAGGCAATAATCAGATTTAAAAGGGAGGGAAGAGAAAAGAGAAGGGAGAGAGAGAAGCTCCTAGCAGTGACTGTTGCTGGCATATTCTTTTGGATGAGCTGGTTTGCTGGCAGCAGAGGTCAGCCTGGGCATTCTCTCCTTAGCCTTCTAACAGGTATCAAAGAAGCAATTTCTGCTGTGGGGGGACAAGGTTCTTGGGGTAGCCCTGGTGGTTACCATCTCCATGCTGTGGCCATGTGTGTCCTCCCATCAGCTCCTCCACCCAAGTTGGACTGGCTCCACCCCGTTAGCCTCGTTAGGATTCTCACATGTAAACTGGGGCAAACCTCTGCAGGGGAATTTGTCAACACACATCAATTGCCTTCAAATTGTGTGTGTGCTTTGACTCAGCAAGTCCACGTTAGGAGTAGATACTATGGAAACAATTCTGGACATGAACTGAAATTTGGCCCTCTTTCACTGTACAGTCTAGATTAATTAAAAAAAAATCAGAAGCAACCCCATATATCCATCAATGGAGCTTCATTAGATAAATGATGTAGCACTATAATAATGTATATAGCAGTATAATGAAATAGGAACCTGCCTTTCACAGTGTTACTATAGAAGAATATTTAATGACATAGAAATATTTGCAAGTTATGTCAGCAGATGAAAAACTAGGCTATGAAGCACTGCATAGGTAACATTTTCCTACTTTGGTTAGGGGAAAAGTATGGTGAGGGAGAGACAGAAAGAGAGGCAGGCAGCAACGGGGCCACAGACGGACGTACATCAAAATGCCAATGTGCTTAATCAATTTACAGGTGACTTTAAGTTTAGGTTTTCCAAATCTTCTACACCGAGTGTATATTTCTTTTATCAGAAAGGGCGTGGTGGGGAAGCCAAGGCCTGGTGCTCACACCTGTAATCCTAGCACTTTGGGAGTTGATGCGGAAGGATTGTCTGAGGCCAGGAGTTGGAGAGCAGCCTGGGCAACACAGTGTTGTTTAAAAAAAGAGAAAAATGAGCCAGGCGTAGTGGCACATGCCTGTGGTCTCAGCTACTTGGAAAGCTGAGGAAGGAAGATTGCCTGAGTCCAGGAGGTCAAGGCTGCCGTGAGCTATGACCATACCACTGCACTCCAGCCTGAGTGACAGAGTGAGAACCTATCTCAAAATATACGTATATATGAATATAAATAAATAAGTGGGAAACAAAGCCCATATGTTAAAAAAACAAAACAAAACAAAACAAAACAAATCTCCCCAGTGCCAGAAAAGTGGAAGCGAAAGAAGCATGTGTTGCCTCCACGAGAGTGGGGTGGGAGGGAGGGCTGGACAAGGCTGGGTGTGGTGCATCTGATATAAGGGGGGGCTGCCTGCATGGAAAGGGACTTCCAGCAGCTGCCTCCACTGCCCTGAGCTGTGATCATGGAACTTGCCCTGCTGTGTGGGCTGGTGGTGATGGCTGGTGAGTCGGGGACCGAACCCAGACTGGGAAGGGAAGGAGGGAGGCCAGTGCACCTGTCTTTGCTAGATTAGGGGTTGTTGCTCTGATCCCTAGGACCCTGGTCCCCACTCCCCAATCCTTCTGCCCCTCTGCAAAAAGCCTTCAGTGGCCGCCAGTCTCCTAGCATGGTAGCTTCAGCCATGGGTGGCCAAGCTGTGACAGTAAGAAACTAGAAGTCCAGAACGGGGGCCTGCTGGTCCGTGATGATGATGCTTTGGACACAGATCACTTCACCCCTGCCTCTCCCACTGAATAGTAGCAACATTGCCAGCCGGGCGCAATGGCTCACACCTGCAATCCCAGCATTTTGGGAGGCCGAGGCGGGTAGATCATGAGGTCAAGAGATCGAGACCATCCTGGCCAACATGGTGAAACCACACCTGTACTAAAAATCCAAAAATTAGCTGGGCATGGTGGTTCACACCTAGTCCCAGCTACTCGGGAGGCTGAGGCAGGAGAATCGCTTGAACCCAGGAGGCGGAGATTGCAGTGAGCCAAGATCGCACCACTGTACTCCAGCCTGGGAACAGAGCAAGACTCCATCTCAAAAAAAAAAAGAAAAAAAGAACGACCATTATGAATGCATAGCACTCCATATTTTTAGAGTTGTTTCATGTTCATGATCTTCCTATAACCTGGGAAGAGGGTTCCCTTGACCTTCGACGAGGGGTGGAGCAGTTTCCGTTTGATCTTAAGCAGACCAAATGTAAAATGCACTTGCTAGGAAATTGGCCTTTTTTTCCTCAATCTATCTCAAAATTGTGATTGAGAAAGGACTTGCATGTTTACATGTAGTTTTGTGGTATCTTGGGACTCTGAAATTCTCTAGAGGAACATGTCTCCAGGATTACAGCAAAAACCGTTAGGAAATTTGCAATCAAGCTGCAAAAATGTATCTCTCAGATGTAAAGAGGGAAGAGACTGCAGAGATCAAATACATAGATGAACCTTCAGTCAAATGCAGGCCCTGCCATCTCTTGGCAGTATGACTTTAGCCAAATTGCCCAACCTTTCAATATCCTCATCTGTAAAATGGGCACAACCCCCTTCATAGGGCTATTAGAAGGAAGGACTCTAATGAGAAAGTAGTTACTAAGTGTTGAGTAAGCGTAAATAATAGCTTTACACATGGCACATGCATGAAAGATGGCAGTGGCACCTCCTCCCACCCACTGTGCCCATCCCTTGGGAGAAGGAGCTTCATCCCCATCAGTGGCAGCCAAGGGTGGAAAAAGCTATCCAGGCAAGAATTGCTGACAAGCTGAGTCAGTTCACCATCACCTCCCCAGCCACAGCTCCAGCTCCAGTTCTCAGGCTGGGTCCTCCTCATCTTAAAATTATGAAAAATAAGCTGCAGCACGGTGGCTCAGGCCTGTAATCCCAGCACTTTGGGAGGCCAAGGCAGGTGGATCAAGAGGTCAGTAGTTCGAGACCAGCCTGGCCAACATGGTGAAACCCTGTCTCTACTAAAGATACAAAAAATAGTCAGGCGTGGTGGTGCATACTTATAATCCCAGATACTCGGGAGGCTGAGGCAGGAGAATCACTTGAACCTGGGAGGTGGAGGTTGCAGTGAGCCGAGATCACGCCATTGCACTCCAGCCTGAATGACAGGGTGAGCCTCCATATCAAAAACATATATATATGACCAATAAGACCACCCAAAAGCATTCTGAATCAAAGCTGAATGTACTTCTTGCATGGCAAGGGAGAGCTGCCTCATTCAGGTGTGACTTCAGTTTCTGTATTTCTGACCCCAGATTGAAAGAGCTAGATTTAGAAAAAGAGGACAGAGGTACCCTAAGAAAGGCAAGATTCTGAACACGGGGCTCTGGCTTGTCTGCCAGGTGGACTCTCCATTTGCAGTTGGGTTCCTTATGGAATCCAGGAATCTCTGATGGATTGTGTATGATTCCAGAGGCCCCAGGATCCTTCACCAGTGCAGCCAAAGGTTAGGAAGGCTTCTCTTTTACATGTCTTGACAGCTGGGGTCACCATGTCAAACAGACATGGCAACATGGACTCCCACGCTTCGAGGGAACACACTGGGGACATGAAGGCCCAGTCACTTTTAGTTGCAACCCAAGGTCACCCACCTGTGGTCTCACTGTTTGTCCACTGCATGAGTTCCTCCCATCCTCCCTTCCCACCCCAACGGGCCCCAATGCGGGACCCTAGGAAGACAGAAGTTAGGGTACCTCACATTGGAGCCCGTTGGGTGGGAAGGGAAGTTGTACTATTAACTTCATTTGCCTGAGGTTGGGTGCGGTTTCCATAACTAGGCTCACTTGAAGCGGGGCTGCCCAGCCCCGTCTCTCTGAGACTCTGGGCCCCATCTGGATGTGTGCTGCCTGCATTCTCGAATCATCTCCTGGGGTTGCACACATGTGCACTTCTGTTCCCTTTTGTCTTACCTGTTTCTCCCAACCTCCCACCTGAATTCATGGACTTAATATATTTTATTTCTCCTAACTCAACATAATGCATTTCTCTCTTCCAGTAAAATCAATTCCCCTTACCATCAATTCTAACCAGCAATTATTATGAATGAAATAGAATTATCCGTGAAAAGCATCAATTTCTAAATCACTCTGTCTCCCAGGAGACCCACACACTGTCTTTATTAGAGACTCAGATTTTTCTAGGGGCTGGGGGTAAGAAGGGTAAGTTGGGATTATTCTTCCCATTGTGGAGTGGGACATCAATGCCCAGAGACAGAGAATGAAACCAGACCATCTTAAGTGATGAATTCTGGCTCCATTTACCAGCCACCAAGACTCTGAGCAAGTTACTGAGCCTCAAACAGCTCATCTGTAAGATGGGGGTTAAAAATAATATTCATTGTACCAATGTTGGTTTTAACAAATGAATCACAAGTCAGAGGATAACACTGGAGGAAACTGGCTGAGGGGTATACAGGAACTTTCTATCTTTGCAACTTTTCTTTACATCTAGAATTACTCTAAAATAAAAAGTTTCTTTATTTAATATAACAGCAATTATCTAGCCAAATGGAGTCAAGAAATCAATACACAAGAAGACTTATAGTAAGTACTCAATAATTGGCATTTTTTCCTTGAGACAAAGTCTGTTGCCCAGGCTGGAGTGCAGTGGTGCGATCTTGGCTCACTGCAGCCTCCATCTTCCTGGGCTAAGGTAATCCTCCCACCTCAGCCTCCCAAGTAGCTGGGATGACAGGAGTGCACCACCACATGCAGTTAAATTTTGTTTCGTTTGTAGAGACAGGGTGTCGCCATGTTTCCCAAGCTAGTCTCGAACTCCTGGGTTCAAGCAATCTGCCACCTTGGCTTCCCAAAGCCAAGATCATGACACTGCACTCCAGCCTGGGAAACAGAGTGAGACTTTGACTCTCAAAGTGCTGGGATTACAGGTGTGAGCCACTGTGCCTAGCCTGTCATTTTTTTTTAATAGCAGTAATAGATGTCATTTTATTTTCATCATCATTTGAGGTCACCCATTTGGTCTAGGCAGAGCAGAGGTGCCATCCTGTGCCCACTGGCACTGCCCTGAAATGTATCTTCTCTCCTCTCCTGGTTGCTGGGCTGCTTGGCAGGTGTGATTCCAATCCAGGGCGGGATCCTGAACCTGAACAAGATGATCAAGCAAGTGACTGGGAAAACACCCTTCCTTTCCTACTGGCCCTACGGCTGTCACTGCGGACTAGGTGGCAGAGGCCAGCCCAAAGATGCCTCCGACTGGTAACTCCTTTCCCAGGGATGGCAATCCTATTCTGCCCCCGACTCCAGGACTCTTCTTTCCTCTCCACCAACCTATTCATTTAGTTGAGTTGAATCCATTTTGTCAAGCATCTACTATGTGCTAGAAACCACTGAGTGCCGACACCATCCCAGCCCTCCTGGAGCTTCCCTTACAGAAGGTTCCCCAGGGTCCCTGAAGGCCAGACACTCCCTTGCACTCCCATCCCCTACTCTAGTTACAAGGACCACATTCACTCCCCACTGCAATGGACATTGTTTTTTTAAAGCCCCCACCCTCCTTTTGTCGTTATTTCATTTGATCTTCGTAACAACGCTGGGAGTCAGCTAGAGGAGCTGTGAGAGGCAGCCAGGCCTGGAGGCACTGCCCCGATCTGCCACTTATAGGCTGTGTGACCTTGGGCAAGTGGCTTGATCTCCCGGAGTCTCAGTTTCTTCATCTCTGAAAAGGGGATAATATGAGCACCTCCATCCCATGGTGGTCTAAAAGATTAAGACAGAATACATAGATAAAGCAGGTGTCTGGCACATAGGAATCGCTCAGAAAATGTTAGTTACCATGATCCTAAGGAAGACTGGAGCCCTGCAGGCCTTGACTCTTCCCAGGTGGGGACATGGGTTCTTCTCCCGGGTGAGGGCAGCCAGAGACCCCAGTAGGCCGGGGACCCGTGCAGCTGTGCACCCTGTCTGCTCCAGGTGCTGCAGGACCCATGACTGCTGCTACGCCCACCTGAAGACCCACAGGTGCCGCTTCCACATGGACCATTACAGATACAACTTTTCCCAGGGGGAAATCCACTGCTGTGAGTACCCAGACCTCAGGGTTGGAGCTGAAGACCCAGGAAGGGTGTTCTGGCCCCACTGCCTTCACAGCACAGCCACTAGACCTCTCTTTTTTGCACGGGCTCACTGGCTGCAGCTGGACTGGGAAGAGGCAAGAATGGGTATGGGGGTACAGAGAAGGTCCATGGGAGGATTGACCCCTTTAACATCCGGAATTCCCATGGGAGGATTGACTCCTTTAACATCCGGAATTCAGGCCCATGACTGACCAGCTTGGTGACCACGTTGCTTGACCTCTCCAAACCCCAGTACCCTCATCTGTAATCTACCCCATTCAGTTATTGTAAGAACTGAAACGAAACAGACAGAATGGGCCTCACAGGATGCCTGCCACAGTAAATTACACAGGGCTCCCGATTGGCTGTGATTTTCATCATCATTGATGCTCACGGCAGCCTGTCGAGGATCAGCAAAACCCTGATTATCTCCATTGTACAGACCAGGAAACCGAAACTAGAGTGGGGAAGTGTTTACCTCCAATTGACAGAGCCTGGGCTAGAACCCAGGGCACCTGGCCCCTGCATCCTTTCCAGCATCACAAGTGTAGAAATGTAGCAGGTCTCCAAGGCTCATCAAGAGGGCTCATCAAGGCAGCTGCTGCTAATTGAGGACCTCATAGTAACAGTAACAATAATATCCAACATTCATTGAGCACTTACCATAGGCTAAGTGCCTTGTCTTCCTTATTTTAACTCTCATAACAGCCCCTAGGCAGCTCTTACCATTATCCCCACTTTATAGATAATGAAACTGTGATCCCTCCTGCTCAGAGTCTTTGCACTGCATACACTGTTGCCATCCCCCACTCCCCAACCCCAGCTTTCTCCAGGAAGAGCAGACACTTCAGATTTCACCTCGATCGGCCCTTCCACCCTGTTTTCTTCTCTCCTAGCCCTGCATGGTTCCTTGCTTCCACTTTGCATAGTTGTTTATTCCTCCCTCTAGTGCTCTAATACCTGCCTCTCTCCCATGCCTCTATCGTTCAGTCCTCTCCTGCCATGACACGGTAGGTGCTCAATAATTGTTTAATGACTGGGTGAATAAATAAGTGAAGATGCAGTGGCACACAGGGAGGTTACGGTATGTGGCCAAGGTCATGCAGCTAGACTCACGGTCGCTGGGACGAGTACCCCTAGGTTCCCATCCGGGGTTCGATTGAGCAGGAACTGCACTGCCTTCAGAGGCTGCTAGACCCATACCTGGCTCTGTCTTGGGAAAGGAGACACAGAGCTCTCCATCCTCCACCCACAGCTGACAAGGGAAGCTGGTGTGAGCAGCAGCTGTGTGCCTGTGACAAGGACGTGGCCTTCTGCCTGAAGCGCAACCTGGACACCTACCAGAAGAAACTGCGTTTCTACTGGCGGCCCCACTGCCAGGGGCAGACCCCTGGGTGCTAGGAGAAGCCCACACCCTCTACCCTGTTCCTCAGCATGGAGCTCCAGCGTCCCCACCCCAGTATCTAACCTAAACCAGCCTGGCTTTTCAAACACTCCTAGGGGAGGTAGTCCCTGCCTCCCCTGAACTCCCTACCAGTGCCTGCTGACCTTCTGAAGCTTTCCAGAGCCTCCCAGTTGAGGCAGCAGCTGTGTCCTCTGAGGGTGGATGGGAATCTTGGGAGAAGCCCAAGCCAGGGAGCCCTCAGGGATGGTGTTTGGACCAAAGCATCAGGGTGGGGGGAGGGGTCTGTGGCTGTCCCCCACCTGCTGGCCCCCCACCGGTCCTTTCTCACCCCTCCAATGTAATCTCAGATCTGCAACTGGAACAGCCACTCTCAAGGGCAATATTGATCTTTCTGTCCATGTGGCTGTCTCTCTTAAAACCTCAAGGCCTTCCACTGTCGTAAGGTAAAGCCTCTCATAGGTGTTGGGGACCCCACACAGTTGGCCGTGTGACCCTCTCCCCAGGCAGGCTCTGAAGTCCCTGCAGGTGGAGACCATACCTGTCTTAAACTCAGTTGCATCCCTGGTGCCGAAAGCAACACTCAGAACGAAGAAGGAGCTATGGAAATCCCTCTTGGGTGAAGCACTAGACAAGCTCTGTGGCTGCAGGCACCAGAACCTTGAGTACTTTGTCCAGCCTACAAGCACTGGCTCAGGGTGAATTACCAGGGGCTACTGAATGGCTATTACTTTAATCACCACTGATCCCCACCTCCTTGGGGTCAAAGGGCTACTTTCCGGAAGTCTCCCCGGGCTGACTCCTCCTCCCTGGCTGCAAGGGTTCACTCCCTCCTCCAGGCTCCCACAGCTTGGCTTCATGGCTCTGCCATTACCAAGCTTGGCCTAGGGTGGCAAATGGAACTTCTCTGATCTCCCCCAACCAGACTGGAGCCTCTGGAAGATGGAGACCATGTCTTTGCCATCTCTGTTTCCCCTGTTTTCCCACAAACAAGGTGCTCGATTCATGCCTGTGGTTGGGGTGAGCCCACAGCGGATACACAGAGGTTACAGCAGACGGCATGGATGACCACTCAGATCCCCTCCAGGCCCAAGACCCGTCTTCCAGAGTGAGGCCAGGTGTTGGCAGCCAAGTGCTCCAATCAGCCTCCTTCTCCTGAGCATTGCCCTGGTCTACTGAGAGCTACTGGGCCCCCACCCTACCCCTCCCATCAAGAGGCCACCTGTCACCCATGGCCAGGAGAGACTGATACCATGGAGGGTACAATTGCCACCCCACCCCCTCCCCACCACCTCTGTGCAGGGCCATCTGGATGGAACAACACCCTCAAGTTCCTCCTGGGATCAGGCTGAGGCCAGGCCTCTCCTGGAACCACCTCTCTGCTTGGTCTCACCCCATAGCCTATCCAGTTTTCCGGGTTCCTGCTCAGGTTTCTCCAGAAAGTACTTTCTCAGTAAAGTGTTTGCACAAGAATCCTTGTCTCAGGCTCTGCTTCCAAGGAATGACACCTTTTTCCTATGAGGACTCCCAATCTGCCATTTGTGTGTAGTTAGCTGTTTCCAGGCACCTGCAGTCGCCCATGCTCTAGGCCTGTGGCACCAACCGTGGCTCGGCTGCCTGAGCAGTTCTGAGGTGCAGTGGTTCATGTGAGGTAGTGTCACAGGAATGAAGAACTGTGGGCGCTGCGTTCAAATTCCAGTTCTATACACCACTCTGGATGGGATACTGATGAGGGTGCGGCTGTGCCTGTGTGGGGGCACAGCACAGGGAAGTCTCTGTACCTTCTCAGTTTTGCTGTGAACCTAAAACTGCCATATAAAAATAAAGTCTAGGCTGGGGATAGTGGCTCCTGCTTGTAATGTCAACACTTAGGGAGGCCAGGGCAGGCAGATCACCCAAAGTCAGGAGTTCAAGACTACCTTGGCCAACATAGCAAAACCCTCTCTCTACTAAAAATACAAAAATTAGCCAGGCATTGTGGTGGGTGTCTGTAATCCCAGCTACTCAGGAGACTCAGGTAGGAGAATCGCTTGAACCCGGGAGACGGAGATTGCAGTGAGCTGAGATCATAACACTGAACTCAAGCCTGGGCGACAGAGCAAGACTCTGTCTCAAAAAATAAAATAAAAACAAAGTCTAGTTTTTAAAAATATCCATTTATATCACTGACTAGGAGGAAATAGTCTCTGTTTAAAGTATAAATGAAAATATGGAGATCAGGGGAAGACGGCCGACTAGGAACAGCTCAGAATTGCAGCTCCCAGTGAAAGTGCAGAGGGTGAGTGGATGCTGCATTTCCAGATGGATTTTTATTGCCCACAGACCAGGAGATTCCCAGGCGGAGGAGCCCCACGGGTTGCCAGTGCGGCTGTTTCGGCCTACGCAGCTGCTTTGCCTGCACCCTGGCGCAGCAGTTCTCCATACAAAAGACACTGGTCCGGGTGCCCTCTTAGCTGGCGATTGGAGCCCTGAGACGGCAGAGTTGCCCATTCATCTGAAATAGCAAGCCAGGCCAGGAGATTCCTAGGCAAAAAAACCACCAGGAATCTCAGCACAGCTGTTTCAGCCAGCTCAGTGAGTCGCGGCACGGGAGATCCTGGTGCCTTTTCAACAGGGAGATAGTCGACCGTTCAACAACAACAACAACAAAAGACTCTGAGTCAGGGAGCCAGGTGATCAGGCTCGGCTGGTCCCACCCCCCCCCCCCCCCAAAAAAAAAACAGTAATTGAAAACTGGGTTGAGAGTTTCACAGCAAGGACAATCGAACCCAGGACGGTCCGGCTCTGTGGGGGAGGGGTGTCCGCCATTACTGAGACACTCCACCACTACGGAGGCAGTCTGCCATCGCTGAGGCAGTCCGTTGTTGCTGAGGCAACCCGCCATTGCCGAGGCAACCTGCCACTACAGAGAGTCCGCCATAACAGAGGCGGGCCACCACTGCAGAGGCAGTTCTAACTACACTCATATAAACAGGACTCCAGGGAAGATCACAAGGCAGCTGGGCAGAGCCCACAGCAGCTCAGCAAAGCCTCTGCAGGCAGACAGTGACTAGGCTGCCTCCTCGCTGGGCAGGGCAGCCCTGAAAGAAAAAAAAAGGCAGCAGCACAACAGAAACTCATAAATAAAGCCCTAACTCCCTGGGACAGAGCACCTGGGGAAAAAAAAAAAAGGGGGGAGTTTATGAGTTCTGCTGCAGCAGACCTAAACGTACCTGCACAGCAACTCTGAATGAACAACAGAGCTCACAGCTCAGGACTTGAGTTCCAATAAAGGACAGACTGTCTCCTTAAGCAGTTCCCTGACCCCCGTATATCCAAAGAGTCACCTTATAAAGGAGAGAACAGACTGACATTTGGTGGGCATCCTTCTGGGACAAAGATAGCAGAAGAGGAAACTGGTAGCAACCCTTCTGTTCTGCAGCCGGGGCGATCCCCCGGCAAGCAGGGCCTGGAGTGGACCTCAGCAGTCCTACAGCAGAGGGGCCAGACTGTTAGAGGGAAAGCTAAGAAAAAGAAGTAACTTCAGCCTCCACAAACTGGAAGTTCACTCAGGGACCCAATCTGAAAGTCAATAAATACAAAGACAACAGGTGGATAAACCCACAAAAATGGGAAGAACCAGTGCAAAAAGGATGAAAACACCCAAAACCAGAACACCTCTCCTCCTAAAAGGGATCACAACTCCTCACCAGCAAGGGATCAAGGCTGGATGAAGAGGGAGTGTGATGAAATTACAGAATCAGACTTCAGAAGGTGGGTAATAAGAAACTACAGTGAGCTAAAAGAACATGTTCTAACCCAATGCAAAGAAACCAAGAACCTTGAAAAAAGATTTGATGAAATGCTAACAAGAATGGACAACACAGAGAGGAATATAAGTGAATTGATGGAGCTGAAAAACACAACACAAGAACTTCGTGAAGCATGCACAAGTTTCAACAGCTGAATTGACCAAGCAGAAGAAAGGATATCAGAGGTCGAAGATCAACTCAATGAAATAAAACGAGAAGGCAAGAATAGAGAAAAAAGGATAAAAAGGAATGAACAAAGTCTCCAAGAAATGTGGGACTGTGTGAAAAGACCTAATCTACTTTTGATAGGTGTACCTGAATGTGACAAAGAGAATGAATCCAAGCTGGAAAATACTCTTCAGGATATTATCCAGGAAAACTTCCCCAACCTAGCAAGGCAGGCCAATATTCAAGTCCAGGAAATACAGAGAACACCACAAAGATATTCCTCAAGAAGAGCAACCCCAAGGCACATAATCATCAGATTCACCAGGGTTGAAATGAAGGAGAAAATGCTAAGGGCAGCCAGAGAAAAAGGTCGGGTTACCCACAAAGGGAAGCCCTTCAGACTCACAGCATATCTCTCAGCAGAAACCCTACAAGCCAGAAGAGGGTGGGGGTCAATATTCAACATCCTTAAAGAAAAGAACTTTCAACCCAGAATCTCCTATCCAGCCAAACTAAACTTCATAAGTGAAGGAAAAATAAAATCCTTTGCGAACAAGCAAGTACTCAGAGATTTCATCACCACCAGACCTGCTTTACAAGAGCTCCTGAAAGAAGCACTAAACATAGAAAGGAACAACCAGTACCAGCCACTCCAAAAACATACCAAATGGTAAGAGCATCAACACAATCAAGAATCTGCATCAACTAACGTACAAAACAGCCAGCTAGCATCAAAATGGCAGTATCAACTTCACACATAACAATATTATCCCTAAATGTAAATGGACTAAATGCCCCAATCAAAAGACACAGACTGGCAAATTGTATAAAAAGCCAAAACCTATCAGTGTGCTGTATCCAGGAAACCCATCTCACATGCAAGGACACACAAAGGCTCAAAATAAAGGGATGGAGGAAGATTTACCAAGCAAATGGAGAGCAAAACAAAAGCAGGAGTTGCAATTCTCATTTCTGATAAAACAGACTTTAAAACAACAAAGATCAAAAGAGACAAAGAAGGACATTACATAATGGTAAAAGGATCAATGCAACAAGAAGAGCTAACGATCCTAAATATATATGCACCCAATACAGGAGCACCCAGATACATAAGGCAAGTTCTTAATGACTTACAAAGAGACTTAGACTCCCACACAATAATAGTGGGAGACTTTAACACCCCACTGTCAATACTGGACAGATCAACCAGACAGAAAATTAACAAGGATATCCAGGACCTGAACTCAGACCTGGAACAAGCAAACCTAATAGACATTTACAGAACTCTCCACCCCAAATCCACAAAATACACACTCTTCTCAGCACCACATCACACCTACTCTAAAATTGACCACATAATTGGAAATTAATCACTCCTCAGCAAATGCAAAAGAACAGAAATCATAACAGTCTCTCAGACCACAGTGTAATCGAGTTAGAACTCAGAATGCAGAAACTAACTCAGAACTGCACAGCTTCATGGAAACTGAACAACTGGCTCTTGAATGTTGACTGGATAAACAATGAAATGAAGGCAAAAATAAAGATGTTCTTCGAAACCAACGAGAACGAAGACACAACATACCAGAATCTCTGGGACACATTTAAAGCAGTCTCTAGAGGAAAATATATAGCAATAAGTGCCCACATGAGAAGCAGGGAGAGATCTAAAATTGAAACCCTAGCATCAAAATTGAAAGAGCTAGAGGAGCAAGATAAAAAAAAACTCAAAACCTAGCAGAAGACAAGAAATAACTAAGATCAGAGCAGAACTGAAGGAGATAGAGACACAAAAAACCCTTAAAAAATCAGTAAATCCAGGAGGTGGTTTTTTGAAAAGATCAACAAAATAGACAGACCACTAGCCAGATTAATAAAAAAAGAAAAGAGAGAATAACTAAATTGATGCAATAAAAAAAACGATAAAGGGGATATCACCACAGATTCCACAGAAATTCAAACCATCGTCGGGGATTATTACAAACAACTCTATGCACATAAACTAGTAAACCTGGAAGAAATGGATAAATTCCTGGACACTTGCCTCCTCCCAAGCCTAAACCAGGAAGAAGTCGAAACCCTGAATGACCAACAACAAGGTCTGAAGTTGAGGCAGCAATTAAGAGCCTACCACCCAAAAAAAGCCCAGATCCAGATGGGTTCACAGCCGAATTCTATCAGACATACAAAGAGGAGCTGTTTCCATTCCTTCTGAAACTATTCCAAATAATCCAAAAAGAGGGAATCCTTCCCAAATCATTTTATGAGACAAACATCATCCTGATATCAAAACCCAGCAGAGACTCAACAAGAAAAGAAAACTTCAGGCCAATATCCATGATGAACATAGATGCAAAAATCTTCAATAAAATACTGGCAAGCCGATTGCAACAGCACATCAAAAAGCTTATCCACCATGATCAAGTAGGCTTCATCCCGGGGATGCAAGGCTGGTTCAACATACACAAGTCTATAAACGTAATTCACCACATAAACAGAACCAAAGACAAAAAC